GTCACTGGTGGTACTATACTGATATTGATATATCGATTTATCGAGCGAGATATGCACGTGAACAAAATAATATCGGTTATCGAATCTGCGCGCTTTTATATATTATTATTACGAGTAGAATTTTATTATAAGTGTATCGTAAATTTAAAAAAAATTATTGGTTTAGGGGTCTTAACATTAAATGTTGTAGATAGAATATCCGATACTTTCCCGTATTGCCCATGATTATTCAGCAATACAAGTCACATTTACAGAATGTAATGATCTTTTTCTATGGCTGGCTGGTAATACTATTACTGATAAGAAAAATCGGCTCAATCCTGTCTGAAAAGTTGGATTTAATAATGAGTTCGGTAATATCACTATGATAATTAGTATATTTGTTATTTTTTTCTCGTGTTTTCTAATTACGATTGATTAGAAAGGTTTATATTCAATCATCAAATCATGATTGGATCGACAAGACCATGAGACTGTGATTGGAAATTACAGTTACATGCATGCGACAACCACAACGTGATCTGCCTTTAAGCTGTAAACGTTATTCAGTCTATATGCTGTAAACTTTTTAGTGAAAATTGACTAAACAAGAGCTAACGTGGTCTGATTATTGGAGGGTGATTCAGAACGAGAAATTGAGTAAAAAACTGGCCATACAAGTCAACAATACAAGATACAATAGTAAGGTATTGTGAAAATAGTACGGCGGCTCCTGCCCCACGCGCCAAGAGTCCACCAATACTGACAGATAGAGTTAAGCGACATCTCGCCGGCAAACTACAATACAAACTTTGTCCAATCAACTAAAACTGCTGTTAGTGATCGATAATAAAACGAGCTTTGTATAAATCGGGGTATAATAGCCAAAAAACTTTAGACAAATAACTCTTTTTTTTCAAGTATCTGCAGTACATTCTCAATGTTCTCGAATCCACTGTATTCAATCCTTCTTGTTTTCACCAAAATATGTGGGGTTTCAGCGGCAACTCGTAAATTTATTATGTGTATTGATTTTTTAACAATATTATGATGTTAGTTTTTTTTCGGTAACACAAAATCTAATGATATAAAAAAGTCTATTGCTAACACTAAATAGATAGTAAATACGTTGTACACTAGATGCACTAAATTTAGTACTAATTTCATGGTTATTGCATTGCTCGTTATGCCAATATTCTCATTTAACTGCAATGTTTTGAGACGGGAGTATTGTTTTCTACCGCATTTATTCGATCCTATAGATATTATTCCACCATAAGAGTTATTTCATTATTCCGTTGGAGCTTTCGGCCAAATCCTATACAGGAAATGGTGTAGACCCTACGGTTGCTTATATCTAAATTGCTATTGCGGAATAGCTGTTCTAAAATCTAATGATCGATGGTCAATAGCTATTGCTAAAATATTGATTTACGCGCCACATATTTACATGTCTTGTGTAATTACATTTATATTTAGTGGTCATCTGTAATCGTTATTTAAATGCTATTATTAATTAAATTTGCCGTATAACAGTACCAAAAAGCAGACAGCAAAGCTGGAAAACTATGTCCCCCACAACAAGCATATATCTTGCCGTAAAAATAATACCTAATTAAAACCATGTTAATTGAGGCACACTGGTAAGGTATAAGAGAGATAATTTTTCCATCTTTGACTTGGTTTGGCAATATGTTATTATAATGTGGCTTCTTCTCTCACACCACTGATGATGATATTATCAAATGACATCTGGTCGAGAGATGACTGCATGGCAAAAGACTTCAAAAAAGAATAAAAAAGACTATTGAAATATGATAGGCATGGAGTGAGCACACACATAACTGATGTAACTAATTGGACATGTAGCTCCTGCAAAGTCGTTGGCCATTTTGCTATCATTGTTTTTTACGGCTCCTGATTTGAAGTCGAATATAATTTTTTTGTTTCAGTAGTTTATAAAGACATTTTTAAAGCATCCAAATTTACAACTGAAGATATAATTCTTAGAAAATAACAATGTTTACTTTAATTAAAGTAAATTACTCCATATTTATGTACATATAGTATATACAGTCAACCTTCCATAAGTGCACACTCTCCATATCTGTATTGCACGGTTTTTTCCATTTCCTACCATATTAATCTCTAAATGCACGCTCGTGATTTTCATGTGATTTGCGCTGTACGTTACATTGAATATCTACAAGACAATTGGATATTTTGTCTTTATTGTAGGACAAATAATCAGAAAATTCATTATCTATCACTGAAATTAAGACAAAGATTCAGGATAAACTGCTTAACAATCACGATTCACTTGGCCTGGTAGAAATTGATCCTTAATGAGTTTATTTCAGGCATACTAACGACGTTTATAACAACACATTGTGAAAGCGAAAGTATTATGTTATTTAGCATTTTGTTAAAGAAATAAAGTCATCTTTGTCCGTTGCTAATAATATACACTTTAAAGAATCTATCATCAAATACTGCAAAGCCATATCAGAATTTGTTGCGTTTTTATTCGAATCGTTATGGTAATAATGCAGACTAACCGTTCGTTCATTTCTGCAGCAACAAAACTCTAAAAAGTTGCTAAAACATGTGGGAGTGCTTGAACGTTACATTATTTTAAAGTTTGTGAGTGTAATGAAGCAAATAAACATACTAATACTTTTGTCAAGTCACGTGAAACTAGTAAAATGCTGACCCTCCGTAAATATCCCTCCCTAATACTAAAGACTTATTCCCAATGGCGTGCATTTATGGAGAGTTGACTGTATTTCTCTCGATATCTTGGATGAAAGTATCTAGAGCTCTTTGAAGTGTTGTCTTAAAAATAGTTTATGAACAGTATATTTAGATGGCAAATACTGGTTTTAATGGATCGTAGAAGACGTGAATAGATAGTCAGTATAATACTAATCCTCGAACAGAAGGAAAGGAGTCTGGTATTAATATCAGCAGTAGTAGTTATTTACTAAAGATCCACACCTGATTATTTGCCTCGTGCGATGGATTTTGGAAATAATCGACACCAAAATGGTCTTTGAATTTTTTATACATAGCTTATTGCATATTAATATGAGCAAGCTTACGGACAAACGGCACCGCTTGCGATCATTTCAAATAAAGGACCTCGCTTACTATTAGTCTGTTAAATTTGTTGTCTATTGGCCTTCTTGCACATATACTTGTCACTTTTCTACAAATAAATACCCGCCTTCCTATATCTGGCAAGATCGACGAATAATCCTTGAAATAGAAATAAAGAATTCTAATTAGCTGTTGAGATGAGCCCCTTCCCATGAGCGAACTTCATTTACCCTGGTTTGGTTAGTATTCATAGTTGACGATCGGCAATAGCCGTGACAATAATTAATGATTGGTGCCCTATAAATAAGCAAAATGAACCCCCCTTTTTTTCGAGTTAAAAGAAGACTCGACAAAAAATTGAACTTTATGAGCTTTATCGTCTGGCAAGCGGTCTTTTGTTTCCTCATACCGTTAACATCGGCATCCATTATTGATGACTCTTATTCATCGCACGAAGATGTGTATGATGCGCTTCTTAACGTATTTTTCCCAATTATTTTCGTCGTTTTGTTAAACGTCTCAGGAAGACCTGGACCTACCAAAAACGTAATGTTGCCGTTACTGGACGATATATTGTACAACACAGTCACTTGGGCGATTCCGCTGCTAATTTCGTTCTCCTATAATGATCTGTTGAGTATAAGAATATTCTCAATCACGAACATGGGTCTACATGTGTTATGTGCAACAATTGCGTTAATTAGACATAAACTGGTTAGTGATGTCATAAATTATGTCCACTCACTCACTGACAGAGGGTGGCTTGTAAATCAACACTTGGACGCTTACATATGGACTGGAACCAGTTTCTTCTTAATATGCTTTCCGGTGATGGCTATTCCAGTATTCTGGATTGATTATATTACAAACAGTCAACAGTTCGACTCAATTGCATTATTATTCATTGTTTTATTTGGGATATTGTCAGCTTCAACGGTTTTGGTTATTCCTGCAATCACAAAACTTCACAAGAGAACCGCTGTTATATTTTTTGTAATTTGGTTTTATTCTCCAAATCTTCTACAAACCATACTAATTGTGTTAAAATGGCCAATCAATTTTTATTTTGTAAAAGCATTTGTGTTTATTCTTATGTTATCTTTGACAAGGAGTGTCTCTTATTTTACTGATAATGTGCCTCTTAAATTTTTGGCCACATCAACAACAACAGTTCAAGTCATGATTAGTGAAATTGTAAAACAGCACTATGGATACGAAGAAAAATCGGTAAATGGCATTCAAAATCAGATGAATGAAGTCCGAAATCTGTTGGACGAACTTCAAAGTCAGGTGGATAAACTTCAGAGTCAGATAAAAGAACAAAACGATAAAAGATGAGAGAAAACGTAAGGGTAATAAAATAAGTCATAGAATCTGGCGTTTGTTTATTTACAAATATAACGATCGCGGTGGTCTTTTATCAAACCTGATTTTATCATTATTTCTATATATCATGTGGGGTTAAATAAACACGTAACCACATAATTATCTGAATAAGACTAGCTTTACAAATGGACATCCTTGGCTTGAATTATTGAAAGATAAAAGTCAAATCCCAAGGTACACGAAATTATTGCGATGTTAAGCAGCACCGGCATTGAACCTGAAATGGAATAGAAATAGGGTAATGTAAAGTGTTTCTCGGGAAAAGAAAAAGACTTTTTCCGCTTAATAGACATTTTTGCAGTTGAAAATCGCTTGCTAAGTTTTGTATCCAAGATGTTAAAAATAACAATTGAGCTGAATTGTGCCACAATCGTATACTTTTATGGATAGTTAACAGCTAAGCCACAAGCAATCCTGTTTGTAATTAATATTTTTAGCCATATGTGTACAAGAAATCATATTCCCGGTTGCACGACATTCAAAATGTCCATATAAAGTCGACTTGCTTATTCGTTGAAACAATTCTTGCTTGAAACATGGCTTCAGATGCTGGTAATAAATGTGGGGATTTTCGGTCGGCAATTATTACACAACATTGGAATGACCCTCCGCAAAAGGTGAGAATGACTTGTATATTGCGCCTTACAATTATTCTCATACCGTGAAAGTTGACATTGGAGTGAAAGAAAGGTAGTCTTGATAAATTCGATAACCTTCATCTAATACACGTATAATCTCTAGCTCTTTCATAAAGAAGAAGAAGGGTCTGATTCCATTGGTCCGCAAGAAATTGTTACTCTCTTAAATTCTTTATTAGACATTTGCAAAAAGGGTTCAGCTGTAAGGAACACAGATTTACAGTACAATCATATCATGTTCCCTCGTAAAATTATATCGATATTAACATGATTTGCCACTCAATAGCAGGCAGAAAGAAGGGTTGTCGCTGACACGGAAAAGAGAATAACATTCTTATTTGAGAAACTCGAAAAACAAGAATTACCGGATCAGGTGTTGGGAAAAGTAGGCAAGGTTTGCGAGCGTACGTATAGCGGCGACTGAAATATGTATCATCTCTTTTGACGAGAACTCATAAACCCGTATTTCCATTTAGACCTTGACAACAAGAACTTTCAAAATGCATTGTCGATGCACAACAATCTCATGACAAGTCACTTCGATAAGGAAGGAAAATGGTTGTTGGGCGTTAAAAGACTGATTGACCTATATCAGAAACAAGTAGAGAGTTCTTATTAATGCGATGAATAACTTAGAACTTACAGTCCAGATAGACTAATTTAATGAGGATGGCGTAATTTTCTGTAGAAAATGACTAACCATATTATATCGCAAGTTTAATAGATAGTCGGTGGATCAACTGCAGTATACAGTCAACCCATATTTAATCTTCAGTTACTGTAAACAATTTCCTTTAATATTAGAAGAACAATTCGATCACTAATCGACGGCTTTGATTGCTGCGCGTTGTGATGTTGCCGTTGGATGAAGAACAGAGAATTGCGATTACCTGACGTGGCGACAGTAAATGAACATGAAGCCATTAAGAAACATACTGTATATATATGACGGACGATGTCAGCAGTTACCGACATAAGAGGCCGTTACCAAACCGCCACTATCATTCTCAACTTTAACTTGTCCATAGTCATCCATAAACATTCGTATCTCAAACACTAATAAGCCAAGTTAGCATATGCCAACTCATCGTCAAATTTAGTCTCAATAGAATAATACTCACCAGTTTAAATCTGTCTCGAATATCTATTTCCAATACAGTTGCATCAGATCCACCAGATCAATATGGCAGTTATTATATATAGCGAGAAACTGTACGCAAGCAATAGTGCCAAGGCATAATGTAAACGTTTCGTAATATCATACACGTATAACAACAAAAGGATCGATTAGCATTCTATTCACACGGTGCCGTCTTTGATCCAATCCGCGTTTATTCCAAGCCTAGATGCATTCTTGAAATACCTTCTCAAAAAGTAGACGATAAACTCGGATGCCCTAGAGATTGTTAGAGTGGTTTCGGCATGCAGGCCAAGGGTATAAGATATCTCCCGAATCAGCGTAAAAACTCTGACATGTGATAAAAGTTCTTTTTATCTTCCAGCGTTCAAACAATACGTGCTTGAGTCATGTGATGATATAAGTCTGATCTTCGAATTTGCACGCTGGCGTTTTCGATGGCAGAACAAGAGAGTATTATTCCCCATCTTCCCAGGATCGAGATAGAGTTCTGCACGGCTTGCAGATGGTGACTATCTTAAGTTGCCCTAATTGAAATTCTGTTCTACAGCAATGTTCATATGCATTATTTGTTGACAAGGACTCTGCGTGCTGGATGGGTGGCTCAGGAACTGTTGATCACGTTCGGCGACAAAATTGGCGAAGTTGCGTTGGTTCCTGGGAAGACCAGCGCTGTATTCAAAGTGCTTGTTAATAATGGTAAGCCAAACTAACAAGTGATTGTAAAATTGGGTTTGTCTGATTGATTTCCGACGCGGTGAGTAATGTATTTTCCTCTCTATTTAATCTGCATGTTTTGTTCTTCGCCCGGCATGGCTTCAAGTTGTAGTATGGGACAGAAAACAAACCGGACGATTTCCTGAACTCAAGGAATTGGTATTGTATTATATTTATTCCATTTGAGATGAATCAGACTAACTAAACATTTAACCATAATTCCGTTTTTCCATGATCTAATTAACAGAAACAATTAATACGGAACTTGATAGCTCCCGGTATGGCCCTTGGTCATAGCGATTCGGCCAAAAAGGTAGCGGTTGAGGAAAAGGAAAAGGAGCAAGTTGGAGCAGCAACGACAGACGCAAAGGAAGCGACGAAATCTCTTAAATGCGAAGATTGTTGAAGCCCCATATACAATCAATCTGTTCTACCACATATTTCTCAAAGGATTTATAATGCAATAAGCTTGTTTATAGAACGCATGGATTAAAATAAATAATAGCGTCGGACGCATGCTCTATTTCCTTAATCATTAAGGCCGTCAAAAAAGCTTGGTATCCAGTATTCGGCGGTTTCAGACTGGTAATCGACCCAACATAACCCTTGACTAAGAAGGTTTTCCTAAAAGAGTTATTAAAGAGTTTTTAGTAGTCGTGACAGACATCATTTTGTATACAGACTTTATATCTTACACTTACAATAGCATCATCGACTCTTTCCTTCGACCATCCCTTTTCTATGATGACCATTTCTTTGGTGACGAAACTCTGTGTCTTTAATAACGTATAAGCGTTTGTCATTGCTAATACATGCCACTTTCAAGTCAATGTCAAATCAATGCTTACTTGCGCTAATTCCAACAAGGCTGCCTGATCGGTGCTAAATTCGTGTGGAACTGATCGGACCATTTTACGTTCGCCAATTTGGATAACCTCGAATCCACCTCCCAGTGGTTTGAGCGTCTTTATAGAACGCACGATGTCGTCTCTACATGAAATTATAAAGTCATTTCATTAGAACCCCATTGAGACATAAGCTTCGTGTCAACTGTCCTTCGGCTCAATTACAATGATATTGTCCCGCCATGGTGTTCAATACTTACTCACTTATCTCCTGTCCCCCACTACCTCTGATTTTCTCTAGATTCCTTTTCAATTCTCCAAGCTCTACTAAGCCTCCGTTTCTATCTCTTTTGCTCAGACACAGATCAATGATCTGTATTGCCAATTCATAATAAAAGTCCCCCACTCCTAGGAGCTCTGCCCAGAATCCTTTGTTTGCTACAAACAAGTAAAGAGGAGTATAAATACGGATTGTAACGCATAAGTAATAATAAGCGGCGAATTATCCTTGACAAGTTTTAGTATACTTACACGCCAGAGGGTCTACACCAATATTGCCGCACATTTTTTGAAAATATATACGAAACTGTGGATTCTTTCTGATTTCTTTTTTGTATATGCGAGCGAAATCTTCAAGATTCGTTTTGAAAGTCTGCACCTGACTTTTTAGCTGATAGAATCGGTATTAATGGACTGTGAGCTTTTTCGTCATATCCGACAAAGGGCAAACATTATGTAAATTAGCCGAGTAGTTTAGTATTTATATGATCCGTTCAATGCATACTTGCTCCATCTGATTTTTTTGTATGGCGTTACCCATTTCATTGTATCTTTCCTAGAAAATTCAATTGCCATAGCCTACATTAATGAAATATGATTACCCATTGTCATAATGTACATTTGGTGAATGAGAAGTTTAAAAAGGTATACATAAGACCTACTCTTCTTTTTTCCTCCATTCGAGCAAAGGCTCCCCGGCGAATCATCTTTAATGTAGTTATATTGCTGTTAGGCAAACAAGAGAGTGTAAAAGAATTGAATCCTTTGGTTTTGATTGGGATGGAGCCAATGAATAATGACATACATTTCGGTTACACAGCAAGACAATACAAGTAATTTAACCCCTTGCCCAAAAGTATTTATATTGACTACTTGAACTGATCGCTATCTGGTATCAAGCGATCTCGTCCGAATTGGCAAGCTTATAACTAAACACAGTTGATGCAAGTCCATCAAATTGGAATTTATCGTTTGCCATCATGTGATTATGATAACCGACTATCTCACGATGGGCAACAATGTTATCTTTTCACACTTGCTCTTTCAGATTTAAGAATGCGCAACATTCGTATATATTCATCATGTCAAAGCATGATGTGCCGCCCAAGTCAGTTATACAATCTATAAGCCAATCTTGTACTACCAATTTGATCGAAAGGAGAGACGAAGGGGGTAATCTGAACTCTTACTTACTACATGATGATAATGATCAAAACGTTATTAGTATTGGCTTGCATAATCTCACTCGCTCAAGCGTCTTCTCCGGGTAAGTCATCGTAATGAAAAAAAAAAAGGCATTAAGAAAAGGTGATCTTACCAACTATATTCTGCAGCCTTTCCATCCTGCGTAGGTCATCGCGGCTTACCCAAACAAAATCCCGAAAATACCATACGCTCGCTACAACATGCAATCCTGGTTGGAGCCGATGGCTTAGAATCCGATGTGCGAATGACCCGCGATGGACAAGTGATAATGATGCACGATATGACATTGGATAGAACCACTAACGGGACGGGATTGGTGACAGCGAGAAATTGGAGTGGATATGTAGAGTATTTGAAAACAGGTGGAGAAAGAGTACCAACGCTTACAGAGGTGTTGGAATTATTGATGCGTGAGGAGAATCGTGATATATGGATAGTTCTTGATGTCAAGGTGAGTAGTCATCCAGAGGTTTATGTGTAGTCGGTTGCCGGATATGAGAGAAGTGTGTCTCTCGGTTAGCCGTTTCTCTAAACGCTAAAAAGTAAAATAGGTTTTATCCGTGGTCCACAATAGGCTATTCAATATTCTGCTTTTATCAATTTATCTAGGATGACAATTCAATTGAAATCTTGGATGCCATCGCGTCTGTCTTCAATATATATCCAAACTATGACTTTACTGCTCAATTCCACATCGGCATATGGAACGAAGAATTCTTCATACGTGCCCGAAAAGTTCTTCCTGGTTTTCCAACCTCTTTCATCGGTTCGGACATATCACTTGCTCGATTGCTATTCGATAAGGTGGAATCGTTTAACCTGGAATTTATATACGTGTTTTCAGATCAATCAGGATTCTTCGATGAAGTAAAGTCGCATGGCAGGAGCGTATTTGTATGGACTGTGAACAAAGAAAAGGACATGTATAAGGCTATAAAGTTTGGCGTCGATGCAATTTTGAGTGACTATGTAGATAGATGTTTGAGAGTTAGAAGGAGGAGGAGGGGAGGGAAAGGCCTGGCTTTGGAGGAATGGGACAAAAACGATGTTGGTGTCGAATGGGATTGGGAATAAGTCGTAGACCGATTTGGAGGAGCGGTGAGTGTATGTATTACTATATAGAGTAAGAGCGTATAGTATTTATTGTTTCGTGGAAATAAATGTTATCGAAAGGGATTTAATTGACCGAGAAACTGTTGACCTTCAATTGTAGCCTATGAAAGATATCAAGTCTTTGCTTTATTTCCGCTTAACAAACGGCAAAACGAATAATACATAAACCTACATTATTTAAAAAAAATCCATTCCCCGTGAGGGAATCAAAAAAAGCAAGAAAAATTCAATTGTCCTAGAAGCGATAATTTTATATCTTATACGTATTTTCGACTTTAATAACCAGTCGATGGTGGCCGGTCAAGTGTACGTCCAGTTCGTTGGCCGTCATATGCAGGATCATCATTATCATCATCGCAATCATCGCCATGACTGCTTCCAAGGCGGTATGCGTTTCGATACGGCCGCCCTCGTAGACCTCTCGCCTCACCCTCCATCGGAACCAGTCCTTCCATTTCCGGTCTTTCATGCTCTTCCTGCAGTTTATCTTCCTCCTCCTCCTTCTTTTTCTGCTCTCGATGTTCTCTTCTTTGATTTGCAAGAATGCTCCTCCTTCTCCTATTATCCCAGTCCTCCTCGACTTCTCTCTTGACTCTCTCTTCATATGCTTTGGCTTCAATTTTCTCTTTCTGCATCATTCGATCTGCCGTCTCTCTTCTCGCCTCGGCCTTTTGATGAAACTCATTTAATAAACTTTGTGCAATCTTCAGCTTGTTTGTATCCATTCGATCATTCTCGAGAGTGAACGACTCTTTGAACGAGACCACTTTTTTTTTAAATCCAAGTGCAAAAAGAAAATCAAGCCCACCGTCGACTTCACAGACATCCCTCCTTAACCTGGCATTTTCTGAGGGTAAGGAACGATATTTCGGAACGTCCGGATTTGAGAGGATGTTGTCAACTACTTTTTGGAGTATTTTCACACAGTTGGAAGCAACGATGGGATCTTTGTTGTGAGTGATTTTTTTCAAAAGTATATCGTGAAATTTTTTGTGAATTAAGTCTGAAGATGTCATTTTTGCAAAAGATGATCATGATTCACATTGTTTATCCTGTTTGATCAGTGTGTCACAGTCGTATGGCTGAAACTTCTTTATATAGTATTGTTTTTGTATTTACCAGAAATACTTCGATGGGATGGAATGCGTGACCACTTATTTCTGGTAACACGTATTAACGTGTGACTAATAAAGAAAAACAACCCTCAAACCAGATGGGAAGTAATGTGAATTATCTATCATATGCGGAGAAGCGCAATAGGAAGAGTGCAAATGGATACAAAAATTTTAGTAATCGCATGCGGCACTTACTGTACTTTTGTATTCACTAGAAAAATTACCCAAGTGTATATACAGAAATAAGCACATACTTAAATACGTTTTTGTGGTTACTCATTATCATACTATTTAGTAAGACAGTCTCTTTTGAATTATAATTGCAAGAAAAAATTGGGTAAAAAAAGTTGAATAGAATACCATCCAGAGAACGTGTACTAAATCCTTTGGCGGTTGGATTGCTTATAAATAATATAATTTTATACAACCCAAGCTCACGCTGAATCAAGCAAAAGTTTAAAGAGCCAGAACAGGCGTTGTTATTCTTTACATAATAAATAACACACTAGTTTTATAAATTGCTGTATAGCATTTTGCAAGGGCCTTAATCTTGATCATCACATTGTGTTTAAACCATATTCGAAACTTCAAGGTAGGCGTTTTAAATCTATTTATATCTGTTGGCTATATTTATTAGACTATTTGAGTAGTTTTCTAATTCTATCCTGGAGATGGAACGAACGATGTAGGATGTTCTTTTATTTAGATCTGAAATTAGTTTGGAGTTTGCTGAAGAAGCTGCTTAAAACTTGCAAAATCACATCTTCAGTCGATCGATATAACAAGTCATTTCCCCATCCAAAAACAAACTTAACAATTGTCACGACTGATGCTGAAATCCATGTGATCTTTTTTATTGCTTAATTACTGCAGGGGATAACAAACAACGTCCGCAGCGCCGCTGAAGAAGAGAATGATAATATTAGTGACACAAATTTGTATTAAACATAACACGAACGATGGGAATACTCTTCACAGTGCAATGTAACAATTACACTGGTCAATAGAAAAATATAGTTGCAAATGCAGCATAATGCTTGGCTTATTGTTACATTTGTCAGTTATATTTATGATAACCTTACATAAGATTATTAATTCAGAAGTAAAATGTTTATTTTATATGGCCTTAAAATACTTACTCAACCAAACGCATTATTACGTTTATTATTTGCTTGGAAATTACGCGTTATCTACATAGTAAAATTGCGTGTTTTTTTTTCTCAATGTCTGGTCTGAAGTAATGTTGGTTTTAAAAAATGAATATAATCTATCCTAACAACTCCATCGCTTCTCCAACTTTTATTTCCAAAGTCAGTATGTGTCAATGTTGTTAAAGGCACGCTGATGATGTTGGTTGTGGTCTCGTTAAGGTAGCATAATTAAACTAATAAGAATTGTTAATTGGTTTTTTGACCGTAAGACTATGTTGCGAATGTATGATATCAGGCCAAGTATATCGTTGCTAATGTTTTTATGTAGAGGTAATCGCTCACTATAAGTAATTGTTCACAGTAAAACGAGTATATTTTATCGTCATCATCTGAAATCTCCCTTTGTTGTAACAAATATTTATTACTCAATGAAGGTGCAGTTTGTTTGGTTTTTTTTTGGAAAATGAGACTAACCTCGTAGTATTATTATTATTATTGAGTATCACTCCATGGATAATGACGAAATTATATTATGTATATCATATTAAAATCACAATCATAGGGAAACATGACATCCGCTCACCGCCTTTTGGACATTTATATTTTTTATGCATCGCCAAAGCGTTTATTATTTCTTGAATTTCTTTCTCAGAAAAGTTTGTCATTCAAATAATTTGAATAAAATGATAAATAAAAATTTAACGAGTTAATTCGTTATCCTCAACTACGAGTTTATTTTACATCGTCTTTCTTGACTTATGATCAGGTATGGTATGCCTCATGTTGTCATGGTATATTTTTACTGTATCTATTGTCCGCCTTACCTATTAAAAAAAGTCAAATTTCAACTAGTCAAATCGGACATTTCGATAAGACTTCACTGTGTAACATGTTGGACCAAAGCGGATCAAATATTTAAAGTTTTTATGTTCGATGATACAAAAATTTTTTTGATTAAAATAAAAATTACCGGTTTTGGCATAAACACGAAGAAATCAGAATATCTCAAATTATTGAATACACTCTTCCTCAATGCAAACGAAATGAGTTTTTCATATTGACGGCTCGTCGTTTGCAGTGCCAATTCTATTACGCACAGTAATTGTATGGGTCACCCTTCAGATTCATTGTATTATAACCGATTACCAAGATCTACTGTATGTTTGTTTACTGAGTTAAAACGTTTTGCTTTCAACGATATGGTCATTGGTATCACTTATTAAAGACTAGTATGTTATTCAATATCATACCTTGTAATTGTAACTAATCAGTGCAGCGTCACTATCTTTATTCTTGAATACGTGACAACAGCACTATATAGGGGAATATAACATGCTTTCAGTTATATAAGTCCTTAATCCCTCCAATTATGAATAGAGCCTTTACCAACAAGAACACAGTCGGGACAGCTAAAATTATGTTTTATCATAGAGATGTTCTCTTATAGAGTTTATTCATTCACTAATAAGTCAGATCCCACGATATAATGCTCTTTATGAGATGATGTTTTTATAGAGATTCGACTGTATATCCAAAAATGTTATAGACCTTAAATCTCGGTTATATACACTATATAACACAAAGCCATACTTTTTGAGATATAATGACTTTCATAATAACAAACGATATCAGTTTAAAATGCACTATTCTTCTACACAAGATATTTACTAAATTATCTGACATTTTATCGTCATTTGAAAGACAACTGTGCAACTGCTTCATTATACTTAATCCGCAAATAACCATTAAACCGCAAGGCACTTGCTTATTAGTTACAGTTGTCTTTGCATTTTTCGCATACTGTATACACGTCCCTCTACTTTCTCTAACCTACACAGTAAGCGTAAACAATCTCGATTCTACCGTAATGCACGTGCTTGACATCGAGCCAAAAAAACAAAACGGACACAAAGCTAGCGGATTGTTGCTTAACTTTACCAACAAAACCATTCGCGCTCGTGTGGAACACAACTACTTACATATGTTTATTTATCTGTAAATCTTAAGACTACCACACCATCTAACCGCTTTGTTGCATAATTTATCCAACAGGTGCTTACCTTATTTCAATGTAATGTTTCATCACATACAGATGTTACGTCTTCAATCTCCAACAAACTTCCGTGGGCACGTACTTGGAGTTTTGCGTTCTTTTATTGTCTACACCTACGATTGAACGCTAAAGGTGTACCTGGGCACGTACTTGGCTGAGAGCAACTTTGGTACAACTTAATACAGCAATTTTTACTGTTCGGACGTCTCAATACCGTCGCCCTTTCGGAAAAAGCCGTTTACATAAATCACTAGCAAGTCACCCTCACAGTGTAGCGTCAAAAAACGTCCACTGATAAGAAGATGCCTCACGTCAAGTAGAAGCAAACTCTACAAAGTAAACTCACCCACGAAACAAAAACAACCGACAACCCGAGAATTGCGCTCTTCGAATACAAGGGTTTGGCCATCAACGACTTTAAATATCACTATCAAGTATAACATTTAGTTACACAAATAATGAAGTATATTTTGTTACCTCAAATAGAAATTAATTAATCATGTTATTCTCACGCTAACAAACAGAGTTTCACGCTATGGTACCCTAGTTTATTGTCCTTACCATATTTGATAATATAAATTTTCAATTACCAAGATAGTCAAGGGTGATGGACTTAGTGAAGGCAATGATACAATCTCTATTTGCAATAAAAATTCATGTTGCTGCTATTTACCCCAACCAATGCCTTATTTGGCAATGGCTAATGAGCACTATCCCAAACATTTCCAATTTCCAAATCTGTTAGGAGCGATGAGCTAGTGAGAGCGACCTATTACTATCGCTATGTGGTAACATACTTCCGAAAAAAATTTTCGCTGTGTAACATGTCGCAAAGCTCCTTCAAATAATATTATTGTACCACGCAAATAAGTCTTTTGTGCAATATGATTGGATAGTTTTATATCGAACGAAAACAGTTGGAGAAATAGAAACAACGTTATCAAGTATCGCTATTGCTGAAGAGAGCACTAGAAGATATTGTTGAGAAATTTCCAGACCAATAATTATATACGTACAATTTTGCAGTGGGATATTAATATGGACTATCAGTATTCGGGGCTAGCAGACACTTTGGTATGTTCGATTGTACCTAGGCATGTTCGTTTCGTTGTACTTATCACTTATACGAATGCCCTTTATTAATATCTAAATAAATGATTATTATATTAATTTCGTTAGGAAATTGAACAACCTTCATCCTCAAATACCAAAAACAAAGGGAAAGAGAAGCAGCTTGAAAATGCAGAGACTAACTATGGAGCTGAGGGAAATCTCATTGTCTTTGAAAGTGACAGCAACAATAGCAATAGTGATTATGAACAAATGTTTACCATAAACATGAGCAAGGATGAATTAGATAAACAATTGACTACATCCTTAGAATCAATTGTCAACAGCAATGACAGAATCAGTCATCTGATTAAATTATCCAATCTGTTGCTATCATCTGGTACCAAGTTAGCAAATAATCAATTGAGAAATGTTTTGAGAACAATCGGAACTAACATTGCATATGAGGATTATGATGTGACCACTGGTATTGAATTTGAACTGCATCTTAGAACATATGTATTAGCATTGGAAATTTATTGCAGGCAACCTCATAAGATGAGAAAGGAGTTCCATGGAGTTTTGTATGAAAATCTTGCAAAATTACATGAGGTTCATCAATCTTACATCAGAGCCCTAGAAAATGG